AAAGTATGGTAGCTGCTGAAAAAAAAAAAAAAAAAAAAAAAAAATGGGGGGAAAAAAACCCAAAAAAAAAAAAAAAAAAAAAAAAAAAAAAAAGCCCTGGAGTGGAGGAAAAGGAAGAGGAAGGTAATCAGTAATTAGCACTGTTTTGGTGGCTTTTTTTGTAGTGATGGAAGCAGAGAGAAGTGTCTACCTGCAAAGTAGTTTTGCTGCAAGGAGTTCCTTAGTCCAGTGGCAAGACCACTGAAATCAGTGGCTTGAACAAGTCCCAGGGAGGGAGTTAACTGTGCCAGCAGCTCATGGCACACCCTGCCTCTCATTTGTAATTTAAATGAGCTGGGAGCAATTTGTGGAAGCCACTGGACAGAGCGGGTGAGTTAGTAATTTGGGCATGAAACAGCTTGGAGCCCCTGTAGTATTGTAAAATAGTCTAGTATATAGTATATATATCTAATAGTATAAAAGTCTACTGGAAAAATGCTGTAAAAGGTGTTTATGGTGGCTACAAACACTTTAAATGCATCTCTGCTGCAATATGAGGTGCAGTATTTTATCATTCTTCTTAAACCTATTCATAAATATCCCTGTAAGCAAATCCACTTCTAATACCAATAAATGGCTTTGATTTCACTCTTCTGATACCTTCCTTGTGTTCTATTCTAGAGTCCCAACCCGTTGCTGACCTTCAGTGTGAAGACCCATGACCGCATCTACTACATGGTTGCTCCTTCTCCAGAAGCCATGAGGATATGGATGGATGTCATTGTTACAGGAGCAGAAGGCTACACCCACTTCATGTTATAATAAAAGGGGAGCAATAGGGCATCCTGCAATAACATAACTAATGAAGTTAGCCATAGCTAGTGACAGCTGAAAAGCCAGTGAATACCCTGAAATGTCCTCCTTATGATGTGCACCCAAAACCTCAGGTCGAGCGGGGGTTGCAAATGCATTGAAAAGGGAGGGTTGTTACCTGTTGTAATTGATTTTTATAGGAATGAACAAGCTAAAGCTGTTGAGAGAATCATAGTGCTCCAAAATGGATAATCAGGCAATTTTAATTACAGCATCTTGATTGAATGATAAGTTTCTACAGATTCTCTTATACAGAGAATGTCTTAGTAAATTTATACTGAACAATTTACAAGTGTGTGTGTTCTCATTGGTATGCAAAAAATTCTAGTAGTGAAACAAAAAGGTGTAATAAGCATATATTTTAATATGCAAAATTTGGCATTTATAGATGATTAGGTGACTTTTTAAAAACTTTAGTCAAGTATTTTATAGAAATACAAACAAAAAAGAAGTCCTAAGGTACACAGTTCTTGCCTTAGTAGTTAAGTGTTACAACAGAGCCAAAGAGTTACATGATTTCCCTTACGTTTTCATATTGTTACTTATACCTAACTTTCTGTAAGGGGACAGTGCCAAAACTCTTAATGACTTTTAATGTAATTAAATTGTTATATTCTGTATGCTCAAAAACTTTGTGGCAAACAACTGCATGTTTAAGGTTTGCATCTATGGAGCACAACAAGAAAAAAAAAAAAAGGAAACCCAAGATGGATAGCTTTATAAAGATGCAATTTTTCCACAAGGTTGAGAAATGGAAACACATGTATTAACTGCCTCATAAAGAGGGATTTTTTTAATCCTCCCTGTTGAACAGAATAAGCTGATTCTGGACTCTACAGGAATTTTCTTTTATATCGTAAGGTTCCAGTGTGGTTCTAATCTTACTATGTGCCAAGTGAACACTATTGAAATCTCTCAAATATTGCCTGCCTTGAAGCCAGCACCAAAATCTCTGCGTGTCTGGACTCTTTGGAGACAAGCTTTCCCAGAGAATTCTTTAATGTATATCTGCACAGAATAATGCTGTCAAATAGAATAAATAGAAAGGTGAGTTCTAAGAGTTTACACTAAGCAGTGTATGAATAAAAAACCTGAAAGTTTGAAGTAGTAGGGATTGAGATTCCTAAAACAGCAAAAATACTGAGGGTGCAGCAGTCTCCCGTTTTAAAATCACCTCCAAGTTCTTGAATAATATTGCAAAAATATAAATTATTTAATTGAAATGAACTTCAAGAAAGTGTCATATTATGACTTTAAAGAGGTTCTATTTGATTATAATTGAAACATGCTCTGTGGTTTGTGTACTAGAAGAAAGCACATTAGCCTTTTTTTTTTCTTTGATGGAAAGCTAATGGCTTTTAATTGAACAAATAAACTGAAAACAGAATAGAAGTATGCTGGCAGAATATTTTTGTTATACTTTTTAAGCCCTGTAACTGTAATGAACAGGTCTGTGGTATGTACAAGTGATGTGGTTGGTCTAGCATGACAACCATCAGTTTCTACTTGAATCATAGAAGAGACAGTTGTTGCAAGGTAATTGTTATCATCTGTGCAGATCACAGCCTGTAATCTATAATTTAAAACACTATCAAATAAATTGCTTTTGTTTATACAGTTATTATTTTTTCCTGATGTATCTTGATTTTATTCCCAAGTATAGTTATAAAGGTTTTCTAATAATGATTTTTGTATCCTGCATGATGCAATGAAGGCATTTCAATAAACATTTTTAAAAATAAACTTGTTTCAAATATTTTCTTGCTGCTTTATCCTGGGACATTTGTGCTTGTCTTTTAAATAGTTATATGCAGTCATGCAAGCAACACTGTATTTCTCAGTAACACTCATTTGAACTATTCCATGTATTTTCCCACAAAAGAGCTATGGAAAATAATCTTTCTTTCAGTGAAATTAGGAGTGTAGTTTGTTTTCTGCATGTACATAATATAATACCTTTTTCATTTTTTATGAACCTGTTTGAAAAATTTATTACCAGCTTTGGATATTGACGATTTTTTTTTTTGTTTAACTGCAAACCAGAAACTGCTTGAGTTTAAGGATTTCAACATTTTCCCAATATTTGACTTATACATGACCTGAATGGGAGTATTAACTCACTGTGGAAATGAAAACCAGTGTGGTTTTATGATTGATTTGTTTTCATTAAGTTTGCCATCATCATAATGAAGTGGGGTGGGGTCTGTAGTGGTGTGTATCAAGACAACATAAGTAGAGCATGGTGGTGGGCACCCCCTTCTATAATCAGTCTGCACTGATCATAATGATCTTTAATGAGGTCCCTTCTCAGCCATCTCTTCTTGAGGCTTGTGAAAAACGTTAATCACTTGGTTTATAAAATTTTTAAATGTTGAGTAATAATAAAATGATTATAAAAATAGTAATACAATTAGAGTAATAAAATTTAGAGTTAGGACAATTACAAGACAATAAACAGCAAAGAATTATGGATGTCCGGATGCTCTCGGACACTGAATCACAAAAAGCATCCCTTGTGAACAAAAGAATAACCTTAAAAGCAATAGCCTGTTGCATATTCATATATCTCATACATGATGCATAAATTCCTTGCATATTAAGAACTTTTCTGGTTTTTGTCAACTTCTTCTCTTTAATCTTGGTGGTTCCAAAAAGACAGAGAGAAGGTGGAAGAATGTTTGTCTTTCCTGATAAGGAGGCAGTAACTTTTTATGGGCCCCCTTTGCTGACATCTCTGTGTGAAGAGTTTCTTGATTATCTCATCTTCTCGCTTGAGCTTGTGACAAATCTTATATCGCAGAATTTCTATTTTAACATTATGCTGTAACCTAAAAACTGTATTTAACACAGTACTTGAGAGAATTAATACAGAATAACTCTCTTAACATTACACATATAATATTCATTGTAACATTTGCGAAAAGCCAATCATAAAATACGCATTTTTTAATGCATATTTTATTATAAAATACCATATAGGCTGAACAGGCCCAGGCCTTTCCCTTGGCCTCGCCTGCTAAAAGAGATGCTTAAATCACCCTCATAGCCTGCCACTGGAGCACTCCAGGAGCTTCTTTTCCCTCCTGTACTGAGGAGCCAAGACCTGGACACAGCCCTGCAGAGGTGGGAGCTGAGCATCGCTTTGGGCAGTGCTGAGCATCGCTTTGGGCAGTGCTGGGCAGAGGGGCTGGACCACCTCCCTGCAGTGCTGCCAGTGCTCTTCCCAAAGTACGCCTTTGCCCTTCTTGGCTATGTTATAAATGAAAATTTGTCCAGCAAACAAAAAAAAAAAACCAAAAAAAACAGTGCTGAGCCCGGGGATGGATCTTGGGTGTGCAACAAGGAGTCAGCCTCAGCAGAGGTTTTCCTCTGTGCCCACACACCTCCATCCTGGCACAGGCGGGTTTTATAGGGAAAATTCCGCCTGAGGCCAAGATTTCGGCAGTCAGCCTTTTCTTCCATTCAGAGTCCATAGGTTAATAAGATTTTCTTTTTTGGTGATGAGAAAGAACAATTCAGTGTCCGGAGTTTATTGAATCCCTTGATGAAATTTACGGGAATGCTGCATTCACCTGTATCTGCCCGAGGATTTCTATAATATAATATCCATCTCGGGTCGTTTATGCGCTGATCAGCACCTGGGGTCCCCATATCTCTCCAGACATGGCCCATCTCCTGAGCCACATCCTTTTAAATCGGTTTCCAATATTCCCATATTCACCAGGTCTCGCCTGCGAGTTTGCGGGGGGGGGGGGGGGGGGGGGTGTGCGCGTCTAATCCAAACAAGTATCCAACATTACACATTTCATATGTAATGGCGCGAATTAGGTTCACCACACACGACAGCTACGAGGCACGGCAGGCGCGGAGGAGCCGCGCACGGTTCGTGTTTTGGTTTTATCGCACAGAGCCCGCCGCCCCTCAGGCGGCCCGGCCCTCACAGGCCGCGCCCGCCGCTGCCCCGCGGGCGGCGCATGCGCGGCCATGGCGGCCATGGCGGCCATGGCGCTGCTGCGGCCCGGCCGGGCCGCCCTGCGGCCAGCGCTGTCACCGCTCCGGGGTAAGGGCACGGCCGCGGCGAGCTCGGAGCACGCACAGGGCTTGCCGGGCGGAGGGGAGGGGAGGGGATGTGTGTCGGTGCCGCACACGGGCAGCTCCCCTTCAGCGCCGCCTCCGTGAGGAAGGGCCGGGGCGCGGCCCTCTGTGGGGATGGGCATCTCGAGCTCATCCCGCGCGGCTCCTGACGGCTTCTCCTCCCCGCCTGGCCCGGTGGCTGTGCACAGCCGCTTTCCTGCGTGTGTCGTGTTGGCTCGAAGCTCTCGGCCCTGCTGGGTGTGGAGGAGCCGGGCGCCCGTTCGCTCCTTGGTGTGAAACCAGGCAAAGCTCCGCCAGGCGCACGGAAAGCTTTGCTGGTGTCCGCCTCTGCCCAAACACTGCCCTTCTTGATGTGTCGCACCCCGTGCTTGTCTGAGCTGTTCAGTTTATTAATTGCCCTTAATTGGACGGGTGAGTCTCATCTAAGGTTGCTCAGTGAGTAAAATTTAATTGCCACTATGGGTGCACGCTTTGTAGCTGCATGAAAGCTTGATTACAGGGGGATTTTGTTGCTGTGTTCTTCTTCTTTTCTGTGTGTTTGTAACAGTAATATTATCAGAATATCTTGGTTATTTGAGTGTGTCTTTAGGTGCTCTGGGACCAGGCCGAGCAGCAGTTCCTGCTGGAATGTGGGTGGTTGCATTAAACCAAGTGTGTCCGAGTCCTGGCCTGGTTCAGGGGTTCCGTGTCGTGGTAAAGTCTCTCCTCCAACCCATGCTTCCAAAGAAAACTCAGCAGCCTCTTGGTGTTTGGTCTCAAGGCAGTTTATTGCAAGCTATCTAAAAGATTTTCTTCTCTGGCTACTGCGGTTTGGTCAGCAACTCCAGCAGAGGCACACACACACACACCCTGACATCCTCTCTGTCTGCTGTCTTCTTCTCTCCCACCCAGGGCTGCTGCTATCCTTTATATGGTGCATTACATGATAAATGTTTACAGTTTTTCTCCAATACCTACTACCTATATTAAATGGTGCTTTTCTACTCTAAACCCATAAGTGCCAACATCATCAAGAACATGGAGGTAAGGAAGAAGAAAGAGGAGGAACAGAACCGGCCTACATTCCTCCATCTTAAAACTTCTGACCCTCATGTACAAAGTAAAAACCCTGCTGTACAGGTGTTAAAACCCCCTTGTACAGTACTAAAAAATTCTTCCCTCTACTTTGTAACTACTTTTACTATAATACCTAAACTTTTGTGACTCCTTGTTCCACCTGCAAAGTTGGTAAATCGTTCCATGGCTCAAACCCAAAATCACAGCTGTTTGCAGCTGCCTGCCAGGGTCTCAAATGCCTCCGACCAGGGCCTGGAACCTCCAAAAATGTCTGAGGGACATTTTGAGTTCCAACACAAGTGTGGACACAGTTGAGTGCATTACCTGTCACAGCAGCATTAATCTGTTGCTGCTGGGAGTGGGGAGATCTCAGTGCAGGATTATTCCCAGAGTTGTTCAGGGAACTTCTTTGGCTTTGATGTGTAATGTAACACTGGTCTCAATCACAGTTTCTGGTGTTCATAGAAGTGCACTTTGATATGAAGAGAATTCCACAGATCAGGCAAGGGTCCTGTTGTCTTCCTGTAGGTATTGCCTTCTGTCTGTAACTTGCTTTTATGAACATTAATACCTGCATTGCACCTTTCAGAAATGCTTCCTGCTCTTACCAAGATCTTTCCTAAAATCAGGAGGGGAAATTACGGGGTAGCTGCTGATGGTTTTGTCTGTCTAAAGAGAAATCTGAGAGGGTGACTACATTGAGCTTTGCTTACGGGTTTGCTGCAGTGGTTGCTTTAGGGGTTTGCATTATTCAGGTTAGGATTGCTGCTGGTGCTTCCATTAACTTGTTAAATGGAAGAATAGTTTGTGAAATAGCTAAGATAGTTCTGTCTTCTGGCTGCAGCTGGAGCCCTGCCAGTGCCAAAGTAATTTGAAGACACCTCCAGAGTGCTGCAGCATGGAAGACAAGTGGCTTCAGAGATGGCTATCAGGGCTTAAGGGGGAGAAAAATATTTCCAGTTACTTTTCTTTTAAATTTAGGGCTTGGTTCTTCTCCTACTGACACTTGCACTCTACTGGCCCTGAAGAAGTGACTGGCTTAGTCAAAGACACTCATGAATCACAAGCCACAGTGTGGATGTGTCTTAATACCTCCACTGTGGAAGTCATTCACCTTTATAAACAGCTCATACCTCAGTAGGATAAAGAACTGCCTCATTGTTTGAGGAGCAATTTAATGGTTTTAATCTATAGTTCAAATGATGCCATTTCTGTTGGACTGTAGGAAAGTTCTGAATGTTAGCTGCACTCTGTATCTGTTATGTATCCACACTTACTCATGCACATCCAAGTTTAACAAACCAACCCCCAAAAACCTTTTCTATGTAATCTCTGATAGTGACAAGACAGAATTCAAGGCTGCAGGACAGTTAAGTGGTGTGATACTGTCAGGCTTGGGCTTTGCACTATTTATCCACCCCTAGGAAGCCCTGAGGCTTTATTTTGGGTTACATAGTTTCTTTGCCCCCCTGCTGAAGCCAGTGATCTTTTAATCTGAGAATTAAGAGTGTCAAAGTGTTAGAAGACTTGACCAAGCTTTCAGTTTAACAAATTACCTTCTTGAGCTGGATAATAGAGTGGATTAAGTCTCCTTAACAGCTCTCTACAAATTACTTGTCCTCACCTGCAGTAGAGGTAAAACTGACTGCTAAAGTTAGATTAAGTCCTGTAGCAGCTGTTGAGATTCAGCAGAATTATTAATTAGTTATCATTTCCTATGTTAATTTCTGTGTTTGATGTTATTCATTTCATTTGGTTTAAACAATGCTTATGTTGTTTCATGCTAATGATGAAAAAGTTGGTCACAAGATTCTTTCCCAGTTCTTGATTATGAACTTGCCCCTATATCTCCATATATTGTGTGGATCCAGGGCTTTGATAAAATGCAGTTTTTCCTTCAGTTTTAATTCTAATGAAAAATTTGTCACCTCATGTACTTGTAAACTTACATTGCACAGAGTACACTAGTCTCAAAATTATGCTTTTTGAAAATAAAAGTTTAAACTATGCAGATATTAAATGGGAAGGTTTTTTGGTGAAGTGAGTAAATGTACTCAAGATGGTATGAAACATCAGGACTGATGAAGTCTAGGAAGCCTGAGAGTTTGTTTTCAGTCAACCACATCACTAATTGCTGAATGAACTCTCTAGGTGATTGGCATTTAATGATTTGAGACTGAATCACAATAAACTTTGTCTTTCAGGTTCATCAGTACTTGTCAGTCATTAAAGACTATAGGAGACAAAATACCTTATTTTCACGTATTGTGCCCATATTTGTCAGACCCTGGGTTTATAAAAGCTTGCATTTCTGCCAAGGTTGTCATGATGATTGTACTAAATAGCTCCTCTTACCAGTTTGCAGGCTGAAGTCATCAGTCAGCTTTCTCACTCGGCCAGATCGACCAAATATCGCTTATCAGAAACTAAAAGGGAGGAATCCAGGGGTTATTTTCCTTCCAGGCTTCAATTCAAATATGAATGGTCAGAAAGCAACTGCCCTCGAAGATTTCTGCAAATCATTAGGTCATGCCTTCATCAGGTACAAAAAGGAGAATTGTTCTTGAGAAAATGAAACTAGTCTCATGTGTTGTGGGAAGGGGTTTTAACACAAATATGTGAACTTTGGCATTTGGATTAGGATGCTCCCTGTGCTAAGGTAGCTCATATACAAGATAAGAAGTCTTCTGTTTCCAAATACAGGATTTCTGTCAGTAGAGAGACTGAGGTAAATCAGGAGAATGTATTCTGAAAGTAATTCAGAAAATTCTCCCAATTTTCTGTAGTATACCACTGCTACATGTTCCAACCAGGCTGTAGGCACAACAATTAGAAATTAAGGACCTGGAGTTCTGTTTTTTAAGTTACCACTATAAGCAGTGTCCTTACGTGCCAAGTCTGTTTAAGTTTCCCTTTGTCTTCTGTGGGTTTAGAAGCTCATGGCCCTGCTTGGTGATGCTGTCCTTTGATAGATGAGATTGAATGCTGTCTGTCTGAATGTGTCATAAGTCTTTGTGTTTGGGTTCAGTGTTTGAAAGAGTTTTTACATTTTAAAAATACCTTCAAAATTCAAGTGTCTGAGGGGTTTTTTTTGTCTGTAAGGGAATTTTTTTGTCTATTCTTGTAAATTATGATGTTATCTCAAACAATAGAGAATGCTGCATAACTTAGTTGTGTTTGTTGTATTTAAATTGTTTTTATGTGATTTCTGGTCCTAGTGATAAACAGGACCAAGTAAGAAAATATTCACTGTGGTATCTTGTTCCCTGCTGATTTGATTATACAGTAGTATTTAGTTAGTGTCTGTGTTGCTGTAGACAGTACTTTAACTTTCGTGTTGATGGTTATTTTTTCAGATTTGACTATACAGGATGTGGAAGTTCACATGGTAAATTTGAAGAGTGTACAATTGGGAAGTGGAGAAAAGATGTTCTGAGTATACTGGATGAACTTACAGATGGACCACAGGTTATATTTTATTTTTTAAATATAGAATGCTGTTTTTCCCTCAGGGTAGAACCTTGATCAAAAATATGCCATAATAGCTCTGGTCAGCAGCAGCTTTTGCTGAACAGCTGACACCTGCTCACTTCCAAGCTGAATCATTTGAGATGTCATATTCATATGAGCTCTTTTGCAGGCAGGTAGGTGACAAAATCATGGAAGTATGGGTTGGCAGGACCTCCTGGAGGTTGTTTATTAGAATCTTCTGCTCAGAGCAGGGCTGTTGTCCCAGAGAGCCTGAGAAAGCCTCATGGTGGAGGTGCTACCTGACAGGGGACAGGGAATTGTTCCTGTGTAGTGTGGCCCTGTTAATGAAAAAGTGTGTCACTGTCCCCTGCTTCTGCATTAATTAAAGGATTTGCAGGAAGATTACAAGATATGCCATATGATCAAAGAGCTTTAAAAAACAGGCAGAGAAGGAGCAGTTGATTTCTTCAGTTACTTTAGAAATTTCTGTGAGAAACTTGGAATCTCCTACAACCTAGAAATACCTAATATTGTGTTCAAAACTATTTTATATTATGAATTGCTTTTGTTTACTCCTTTCTCTGCACTGATTCTTTTATCACGTGCATTTATCTTGAGAAGGAAACATAAAAGTATGCATATGATACTGAATTGTTTCAACTCTCATTTTGTTTACAGTGTTTCAGTCTCAGACAGCAATAACCAGCCATGCCAAACAGAATAATAAATACCAGATCTTGTGGTGCTTACTCAGGCAAAATTTCCACTGGAGCTGACAGCAGTTCTGCCTGGGTAAGGACAGCAGGATTATGCCCAAGGTTTAAATAGTTAAACCAAGTGAACACTGATATTTTGTGCAAGAAGAAAAAAATCTATTAGCCATTTCCTGTAAAACACTGTATTTTCTTTCTTTTTTTTTTTTTTTATTTTAATTTTTTTTTCCTTTTTTTGGTGGGCTCAAGCATGGGTGGATGGCTGATGCTTCATGCTGCAATAGCACGTCCAGATAAAGTAGCTGCTCTGGTTGGAGTAGCTGTAGCAGCAGATCACGTTGTAACAACTTTTAAGAGGCTTCCTATTGAGGTAAGTGTTGATGGTTGGCTTTTGTGAAGTCTAGAAATCTTACCAAAAATTTAAGAAATAATGTTATTTACACTGTACTTTTCCTGTAAATTTTAGGGTAAGTTTTCTGTGTTTGATTAATGTAAGCTTGCAGTATGAGACTGGTGTGAGCACTAGCCAGAGTGTGCCTATATTACTGTGGTTTAGAGGATGTGAAGTTAGATCCCTGCTTTTTGCAGTCCATTGGATTTCAGTGTTGAATATCTTATATTTGCATTGGAATTGGATCCTTGTGCTTGGAAGGATGGAGAAGTAGCCACTAAAGTAATTGAGGTGTCACTGGATGAAATGCATACAACACAGGTTGTGTGCATAGAAAGGAAATTTTTCAGATTACTGTGTTTGTAAAGATTCAGGTAGTGGGAACTACCCTTCTGAGATTCTTCCTTGATGGTAATAATGTCTAGTCTTCAGGAAAGCAAATGACTTGTTACATGGCAATAAATAATGTGTGCCTGAGAATAATGAAAATATTTTCCCAATTTGTTTGGGTTTTTCTAAGGTACTTCATAGTGTCAGTATTTCTATTTAGGACTCAGAATCTGAAAATACTTAAAAATCTAGAAATACAGTATTTAGAGATGCCTGCTGTGGCAAAGACTGAAAAGACTCATCACTGGGCAGTGTCTTTTCCCTAGGATTTCCCCTTGTCTGAGGATCAGTGAACTGACTGAAGCCAAGGAGATTTACTGATCATGATGGCTATACATCCTTTTCTTTTCTGATAGATTCTGGCTAAGAAATTTAATTTCACTGGTGCATTTTAACTAGATTAATTTGCAGGAGAGGTTTGGAGAGCACCTTTTGTGACATGGTAGGGGATTTGTCCTCTCGGATGCTGTAAGGAGAATGGGAATAGACTTTTGATAATAAAAATCAACAAGGTGAAACTCTGTGCTTGGGGGAGTTTTACTGCTTTTAGAAGAGAAATAAGTTGAGGTACTCTTAAGTACTCCTAACATGTGTTTTGTCTATTCTTTGCTCTCTTTTTATATAGGCACAAAAAGAAATAGAACAAAAGGGTGAATGGAAGTATCAAACAAAGCACAATGAGGAAGGCTATTACTCCTTGACCTATGACTTCATCAGAGAAGCAGAAAATCACTGTGTGCTGAATAGTCCTATTCCTGTAACATGTCCCATACGCCTTATCCATGGCATGAGGGATGGGGATGTCCCCTGGGAGATCTCTATGCAAGTTGCTGACCGTGTTTTGAGCAAGGACGTGGATGTTATCCTCCGCAAAATCGGCCAGCACCGCATGAGTGACAAGGAGGATACAAAGCTCCTTGTGAATACTGTTGATGATCTAATTGACAAGCTGTCAACAGTAGCATAAGCTGAAGAGTAGCATTAGTGCATGAACTCTACACCTGACTCTTTTCCTTGAGTAACAGAAGCCTTGTTCTTACCCAGGTGGTGGCAGGCCTGTGACTGTCACAGTAGGAACTGAGCTTTATCTGCTGTTTCCTTACCTCTGTTTCATAAATACAGGTATTATATTATTGCTGCATTTGCACACAGTCCAAAGTGTGAAGGAGTGCTGCTATTCTGTTCAGAACCTCTCCTTCACCACTTTACCCATTCTTTTCACAAATTTCCTACAATTTTGTACTGACACGTTGATTACTTTTTGTTGCTATTGGCCTGTACAGTAAAATTTTATTTTCACATCTTTGATCCCTGTTACTGTCCTTTCACTGTAACATCATTGTATCTTATGTCTGAAACCATCTGTGCAAGGCAAAATACAACTTACGTGTTTACTGAAGTTAGTTATTAGAATAGTGAGTACCATGAAACGCAATAAACAGATTTCAGATAAATGATTATTTTGTTCTGAAATGCTGTTAAAACGTGGAAGGCACACCCTGATGGTGTGCTTGGGGTACTACATAGGGAAGAATTTGACTTCTAAGAATGCAAGGCCTCAAAGCCTTAAGAGCTCTTTATCTGTGCTTATCAGGAGGAGGTGTGTCATCTTCTCCAGGCTGCCATCTGTCGTTCATTTCTGGGCCTACTGTTAAGGAAACAATAAATAATCGTGGTGTAAACTGAAACTGGATCAATAAGGTGACTTTAATAGTAACATCTTCAAAGTGGGGAGTATGGGGCCACAGAGCACTTTTGCCACTTTCCCATGACTTGAGAGCTGTGGATTGCTGGGGGCAGTGTCTTCTTCAGCTGCATGAGTCCAACCCTGAGAAGTTGTAAATAGAATTTGATAGTTGAATAAGTCTTAAAATGCAAATCCACAAAATTTAATAGGAAATTGTTTTAATTGCAAATATGACTGTTATCTGGGTTTTATACAGATATACAGTGCCATACATACACTTGAGAGAAAGGCTGGAATTAGTTCAGGCTGGCCTGAATGTGTAACAGCAGTCAAAAGCATATAATTGTTTCTGGGTTTGTTATTTGAAGTAGTAAATGACATCACTATTGTTACCTTAAAAGACTAGAGCTGCTGGGGGTAAGGTATTTCTAGAGAGTTTGTCATTTTCAGTTTTAGCTGTGTCAGTAGAAGTGTGCTGAACAGGGCTTTGCTGAGGTAGTGGGTTTTAATTAAAAAAAAACAACATCACAAACAAGTAACAAAAGTTATAAAAAACCACAACAATGACAAAACTAAAATTTCAGTTGAGTTCCGGTGAAGTACAGGAACTCAAGTTCCTGAAGTTCCTGTTGAAGTCCTGTGAAGATCTATTTAGGCTTACAAAAAACAAGCTGTGATGTAAAAAATAAAAAAAAATAATTTTGGTATAAGTAAAAAAAGATGACTCTTGTTTTGATGCAGATTTTCTATTTCAAGTGTACTAATTCCCTAACTCAGTCATAGAATGGTTTGGATTGGAAGGAACCTTAAAGATCATCTGGTTCCAACCACTATATCAGGTTACTCAGAGCCCCATCCAACCTGGCCTTGAACACTTCCAGCAACAGGGCATCCACAGCTCCTACAGGCAACTTGTTCCAGTGCCTCACAACAAAGAATTTTCCCCTAATTATCTGATCTAAACCTACTCTCTAAGTCTGAACCCATTCTTCCCCTTGTTCTGTCACAACATGCTCTTAATAAATAGTCTCCATCCAGCTCAAGATCTAGATTGGGATAATTGCTTGAGGAAATCAGAACATTTAATGAAATCTTGTTCCCAAGTATTTCTGGCATAGACTGTTCTTCTGTTTGTATGACTATGCAATTCACTTTAGCTTTAAAATCTCTGAAGTATATTTCTGACTTTTGAGAAACTTAATGCAAATGGCATTCCTGGAATTGAGGCTTGTGTTCATGTTCATGTACTGTTAAGCAGTTGTCATCTTTATATGTGTTTGTATGACTTGAATCTGATTATACCTAAAAAACAGATTTTGTGGGTTTTAAAGATGCAGTCAAATCAAAATTATTTCAGAACTGCCCTTAGTCACGATAGGTTTTTAAATCCAGTTTTGTCTCATCTTAGATTGGTTTGGCTTGTAATGGAAGATGAGGCTGAAACAAGTGGACTGCAGTAATTCCAAAATAATTAATTTTAATTAATGCCAAGAGTTGCCAGTTGTAATTTATATACTTTTTCTTCACATATATTAATGTTACTTCAGTGACTGAAAAGTTTTGAGCTTTTTTTTTTCCATAGGTAGTTATACCTGTAAACGTTTAATTTAATATTTTGGACAGGAAGAAGGGTTTTTGTGCCTGCATAATCTGTAGCTGTGTATTCCTCTTGAAAGAGTTGCATTGTATTCGTGCTTCATGTTAGCCTTTATTAAATAATTGACTTTTTTACAGGTAAGATGTCTGTTGCAGTGCCTTAGAGCAAGAGAGGTGAAGGCAAATATGAAGTGGAGCAGTTGTGTAAAGAATTTTCAGGAGGGTTTTTTTCCCTGTTTGCTGTTGCTGTTTTGTGTTGTTGCCCCCTCCATTATTCTGCTGTAATAACGTGAGTGTAACAGGGTTGGCATAATTTTTGGGAATACAAAACTGCAGCATCAGTTGCTGAAACCACAGCATTACTGAAAACTTACTCCTAGGGGTGTGTTTTTTGTTGCCACTTGTCTTGTAGTCCTGTTTTCCTTCTCAGGGATAGCAGGGGTAGCATTTACACTACAGGTACACCCAAAGTTTGTTACATATGGCCTAAATGCAAAGGCAGAGATGATACTTTCTTCACAAAGGCAATATTCCAGGTAGTGTTTTGAAATTCAGGGAATGCTAGCATCCTTCTCTCTACATTCACTTTTTGTAAATCTGGTTTCCTTAAATATGAAGAGGTAGACCTTGTGCAGACAGACCTTCTTCTCTGACTTTGCTGTAGTAATTCCATTGATATTTATCTTTGCAAGCATAAGCATTTTCCCTATGTTCATGCTGGAAATTACCAGAGTTTTGACTGCTGGCAACTTTGCATGTTCAGATGCCTGAAAGAAGGGATAGTGATAACTAGAGAGATTTACATCCTACCTCTGAGCAGCTGTTGATCTACCAGGAAATTTTGACAACCTCAAATAATGTGGTATTCACATATTACAGTGTCATTCCAAATTGGTAATTTTTGTCCTCTGCATTAATGCCTGGGGCATTGCTTTTTTCTTTGCCAGTAGATGCCTACATAGTGATTACTTTTAGTATTAGTTGTGTTTAAAAACTAGTATTTCATTCCTCTGGAGAGGTACTGTAATAAAATAGGATATTGCACACTGGAAAGCTCTGCATGATGCAGATTTTTAAAATCCCTTGTAATGAATTGTGTTGTGTTTTGTTTTTTTTTTTCTTTTTTTAACAGACTGCTGATTTGTTGACAAATGCAAAGCATTTTGTGAACATACAATGTATATTTCCTCAACAATAAGCTTGATTTGCATGAAATAATCAGTTTCTAAAGCTTACTCAACTTCTTTCCTAATAAACAAGTGCTCTTACTCTGTTTATATTGAGCTGTACTTCCATGGTTTTAGATACATGTATTTTTATCTTGTTACATATTCTACTTGTTTTGTCTCTCCTCTTGTTTGGCTTTGTATTACACACCATCTGGTTTGCTTTTTGTTGTTGTTTTGGGGGTTTTTTTGACTTAATTGGTGTTAAGTGTTTCATGTAGTTTCTGTTTAGCTAAGCTGTTTTCTCTTGCATCAACACTAAATGCAAAAAAGTGTTCACAAAAAAGCGTGGCTGGATAGGCTTTAGAAGAATCACCTCCTGCTGTTTCATGTTTATGTTAATTTTGGTTACATGCTCTCTTGGACATGCTGTTATTCAATGGGGCTAAAAGATTTATGGTACCATACTTTTCATATCAAATTAAAACGTGCTTAGAGAGAAATATTCAACGGGTGACTTGTCTGCAGCTGCCCAGCTATCTTCAGTGCTCCAGTCAGGATGCAATACAGAGCTGTAACATCTTCTGAAGCAGTGCAGTTTCTACATTAGGTTTGTGCTTGTAATTTCTTTCTCCTCTGGCAGGAAAGAAACCCAAACAAGTGGGAGGGAAAATCATGTTCTGGGGAACAATGAGATATCAACTTATTTTCTAAGCTACTCAGTAGTGCTGTTGCAAAAAGACCTACCTTAGCCTTTCACATTTTTTTAGTTTTCTTAAATGCTGAAAAGTTAAGTTATACTAAAGGTTTCCAGCGAAATAGAAGAGGGTTCTCTGTTTGTCCTGTCTCTGAGATGAGCAATCTCTCTGCTTCGTGTTGATGACCAAATTCATTAAGATCTGTATGAATGTAAAGTTTCACCAAGGCTTGGTGAAAATTCATCAGCTGTGTAAGGAATGCAGACAGAAATACCAAACATCAGTGTGCATTCTCACTCTTCTAAGTTTGTTCTCAAGCCCAGCAGGGACAGGAAGGGCAGAGGGAACTCAGCCATTATATTAAAGACCAGCCAGCTTGCTGAGGATGAGGTTTTAATGCCCCTGTCATTGGCACTTTGCTCCTAGCGGGTATTTTCTAAGGGAAGATTTTACTGTTGAGAAAGAGAGGCAGAGATGAAGATCTCAGATGCTCTGCTCATAGATTTACTGCTTGTTGGTCAGTTTTTATAGCTCACATTTGCTTTGTGACTGTAGCACCTCATCTCTCTTCAATATGTATTTGCCTAGAACAGAAAAATGTTACAGCCTTTGTCACCTAATATGTAAAAGGAGTTACTGCAGTCTGGTTGTAGGCTTGACCTTTATTTCTTTTTCAAGTCCTGCATATATATGTTATGTGGTCCAGTGCTTCTTTTCCATTAAAGAGAAATGGGCACCCTCTATATGATGCAGTAATTGCAGCTCACAGGTAGACACATTTTCAACCTCCTACAGTCTCTCGATTTGTGTCTGGCAAGGAGCTTCAGGCACCTCTGCATTTATATTTGGAAGGAAAAGCAAATGACCATGCCTAAAACTTCCAGTCATTTGGTTCTGAAATTAAAAACACATATTTGAAATCTTTCGAGGCGAGCACGTGAAAGCTTGTGCTCTTTTTGGGCCTTCTGATCTGCACCATGCTGTCCACTTGCCTCCCACTTGGCAACATGAGAAGGTCACTGCTGCCTGCTGGGGTGGGAGCAGGTGCTCTGTCAGTGGTAAAGTCTGCTGAACAGCAGCACCCTTAGGGATTGGCGTGATGCAAGTGGGCTGCCCAGACTGTAGCCTGGGAAAAGCATTCCCTGAAACCTGCCTAGGATCAGATCTCGACCATACAAGTTGGGTTTGGGGTTTAATTGATTATGGCTTGCTGGCAGAAAGTGTGCCAGAATGTGCTAGTCCTTGGGACAGTACCTCTTGAAAAAGTTCCTTAGAGCAAAGCTAAATCCCTAACCATAAAAGCACCATTTATATAGTTAGAGGATTTGATCTTTTAGGGGGTTTTTGTTTGTAAATTCTGCTGTCTGTTTTGACCTCTATTTCAGTAAAATAAAGTTGTTACTTTATGTTCTACTCTGAATGTGCATTGCAATGTATCATTTTCAAACCAAAGTTGTTCTCAGGAGGTGCTGTTCTAGCTGGAATACATTGAAAGCTATTGAGTTACCCTGGATCTACACATGGTTAATACCAGTTGGTCAATGCTCAATATCTACATGGTCAATATCTACACTAGTTAATATCAGTTGTTGGGTTTGGCAGCATTTATTTATAGGCTTACAAAGATTTATTTAAATTTATAGGATAATAATGTGATTATCTGGGAGCATAAGTGGAGTCATGGTGCTTACAGGCATGAAATGCTTCTGCAATTATTCAAGCTTCAGCCCTAGTTTTCAGTCATAAATTCTAGTCTCGTGTTGCCAAGAAAAATAAGAGGACAAAATCTATTAGAAGCAGTAGGTGAAGTGTTCTAATAGTAGTACCTTAATGCTGTAAGCCTGCCCCTTTCTTCCACATCACATTTCTAACCATCAGGCTTTAATCTGCCTGTGTCTGACATAAGGAACTTGAGCTTCTTCAGTTTTTCTTAATTTGTAGGCACATGTGCTTGCCTTTTCTTAACTTCTGGTTTTGATGAGATAAACAGGTAATCTTTCTGATGTAATTACTGTAAAAGCTCTAATTTTCAGTCTTCCAGTTACTGGAATCACAATTTAAATTTCCTTTACTCTTCCACTCCTTTTTATGAAGAGTAATTGTCAGAACTGGATGTGATATTCCCATTGCTGTTGGTGCACCTCCCATATTTTATTCAGCCAAGCCCATCAATCATAGTGTCTTACCCAACATCTTCATTGTCCTCTGCATTATTTTTTTACATCTGTTTTGTCATAGGACAGAGTGCTGCATTCTTAAAAGTACTTTTTCAATGATGGCTGGACTTTGGCTGCAATAAGACACTTTTTGTTTGCTTTCACATAGACTGCTTTCAAAGAAGTTTATCTTTTTTGCTTATTCACATGAGTTGGGATCTTCTTAGGAGCGGGGGGGTTTTCATTGATTTCTAATAACATTGACTAGTTCAGTCCTGGGGTTTTCATTGATTTCTAATAACATTAACTAGTTCAGGCCTGGGAACATATTCTTGTACAAACTGAATAAAATATACACCATCATTAATGTTTTTTCAGTTACAGTCATATTATAGGATCTACTAGTTAGCCAGCTTTAATCTCTCTAATGTGTCATGTTGCTTCAGAATTGGTTTAGTTACCTAATCAACATGTCATGGAGTAGCCAACTCTAATATATTACAGAGCATTTAGTAAATTGCATCAACATTGTCGCTTAAAAATATTATTCCATTGTTTTCCCCAGGATTGATGGCACAGAAAGCAGGCTTACGATTTGTTTTGTGGTACTTTGGAAAATATTGGTGGGGAGCTGGCATTTTTCCAATCCTCTGCAGTTTCCCAGTTTTTCAAAGCCTTATTAAAAATTGATATTGATGGGCAAGCTTTTCAGCTTTCCCAGTGTGGAAAAGCCCCTCAAGAACAGGTTGCATAGCCAACATCTGTGAAGGGAGTGACCTCTGCTCTGCAGCTTAGGAGAGTTAAATTACTGATCCCTGCCCCCAAGTTAGGAAGCAGAGGCTGATGCAAAGGTAGGTGATTTTCACAAAATCTTGTTGCTAGTGAGCACTCAGCCCCCTGGTGTGACCACAAACAGCCAGGCACCCTCGGTAGCTCCCTTCTAAACAGAAGAACACAAAAAGTTCTGAAATTGCAAAATAAAGCTTCTCGGTTGTGGGACTGGCCAAAGAGAGTGAAGCCCAGCCCTTAAGAGCTGCTTGAAGAGAAAGGATGTTAAATTCAGATTCTGCCTCTTCCTGTTGCAGCTGCAGCCTGGTCCTTCTCTGAGCTCCAGGCTTGTGGCTCCTGCGCATCCGCCGTGCCTCCAGCCGGTGCTCGCTGAGACAGAAAGTGCCCAAGTGGTGGCCCTGTCACGTAGCCTGCTCTGAGTTATGTAATCAAGTGCTTCGTGGGCTTTCAAACTACCAGAGCAAAGAAGGGAAAGCACTAAATGAAATGCCTGTGGAGGACAATGATGAATTAGGTCATCTGTTACATTTTTCATCTCTTGAGTCTGTTCGAGCCCAGCAGCGTCAGAAGCAGTGCAAGTCTGAGAATTCAGCATCTTATGAGAAAGTAATGGATGAAGAGCCCATTATGAAACAGATATACAAGGGAGTGGGGGGATTTCCCCCCTTTTTTTTCCTCTCCAAATGCAGCAGAAGGACTTTTGTTCACCAAACTGATTATGTATCCACCTTGGGTTTATCAACCTCCTTGCATATCAAGCTGAACATTAATAATTTGCCAAAAGGAAACTATTTCATACCAGGGTGGACAATGCAGCATGAATGAAAGATATTTGACAGTCTCATGTAACTCAGAAAGAAGCAAAGTGATTCTATTTAATATAGGATTAAATCAGACCACAAGAAAAGTCTCGTCTTAACTCTTCTCTCCCCTTCCACACTGTATGAGTGGTATAATCAAAATTTAAATGACTGCACATGGGCATAGCTCCCTTCCTATCACTGGTGGTTAGCTGACTCATAGCAGCAGAAAGTAAAATCCTTGTGCTTTATAGTAGGTTTGCTCCTTTTAGTGATTTCCTCTTGTTTTCAGTGCTTTGAGTTGTTTTTCAGGACACCATTCCACTATTTGATAGGCTAATATATACTGATGAGAGGCCTATAATAATATTCTACTACCTGCCTCCTCTTCCTTCACTTTTCATCCTATTGTCCCCTTGTTCAAACTTGTTATCAGCATTTGAACAGGGTAGAGGAGAAATTATTTGTCACACTCTTATCTTGTTATCAAGATGCAGAACAGGGAGAAAAAAGATTTGTTTCTGGCTTAGGACTAAAAATAAACTAGATGTGTGGTAATTCCTGCCACCTGCATTTAACAGAGTGCCTCTAGTTGTGTTTCTGCCTGTCACTGGGATGCTTGATGCAATTTGGGTTGATGCAGACTAGGTGGAGTAAATCTGAGCCGGTGGGGTGAGCAGCACAAGGCTGAGGAAAGATGCATGAAAACAGAGCACAGATGGGCGAGATAAACAGGAGCCCTGGGCTGTGACTGAGGAGGCAGGTCTCTTTAATGGCTCTTAGCAACGCCCCTGCTCTGACCCTCCTCATATGTGAGGAAAATCAAATCAATACACTGTTCTTCACGATGCTGCAGCAGCAGCGGGGCATTGTGGCAGCCTTCATCTCTTGAATTCATCTTCGCTTTTCAGTGTGCTGAGCTCTGGATTTCCATCCTTGCATCTCTGCTGAGGAAGACTCTGACTGCATCTTTAATCGGATTGCTTGAGCTCCCATGCACAACCTTCTTCTTATTAGCAAGCATTAGGTAGGCAATTTTAAAGTGCTTTTGGATTTGCAGGCAGCTGTAACGTTGATCTGACAACCCTATTGTATTCTCTGTAAACATAGCAGAAGCCTCTCTTTAAAACCTGTTTTAAATCTTGTTTTACTACTGTTTTTGTGGTTGGGGGCGGGGGGGGGGGCTGCTGTTTTTTTCCTTCCTTTTAAAAAAGATGTAGCTGATTTGTACTTTTGGAAAAGGATATTCCCTTGTTAATCCCTCCCCTGTTCTGTGGAGCTATAACTTGGTGCCATACAGTTACTTACAGCTTTGATGAACATCTGTTCTACTGTCTAATGTTTAGCGTGGGCTTCTCACTCTTTTATCCTTTAATTTTCCTGTGCATACTTCAAAGGTGTGGACTGGGACTCTGCCCACTAAATAAGTTCTCCCTTGTTTCCAGAGATGGCTAACAGAGGACCAAGTTATGGCTTAAGCCGAGAAGTTCAGGAAAAGATTGAACAGAAATACGACGCAGAATTAGAGTCTAGGCTGGTGAACTGGATTATTGTACAGTGTGGAGAACAGATAGAGCACCCTCCTCCTGGAAGGCAACATTTTCAGACCTGGTTGATGGATGGAACAGTGAGTGTTTTGTCCAATTGCACACTGTCATGTTTTTTATATGCACAGTGCTCCTGTGCTCTGTCTTCATTTAGATTAATTAATCAGAGCTCATGGTCAGTGCAGAAATATATGTCTTAGTATCTGATTTATTTCCTTTTGACCAAGAGTCTTAATCTCAGAAGATAAATTATCCTACTAGTGCACTGAGATCAGTACAATATGATTCTTATGAGTCATGCATGTTTTATATATAAGTATGACTCATTCCTTCAGCATTTTTTTCTCATGCAGTTAAATGAAATCTTTTTTTAAATGAGATGTATGCTTTTATTTTAAAGAAATAATCAGTGTTGACAAGGAAAGTTGAAGAGATATAGCAAATTTGAAGGATAGGATTGTGTTATAACTGTGTTCTTGAGAATAATTCTGTAGCTAAAACATTGTATTCCATTGGTTTATTGAACAACAGGCAGATGCTGCTGTTTGCAGTGGCTGTAAGACTATGCTAATCATTGAATCTCTGCCAAAGTGACTTTAACAATATTTCAATTGACATTGCTTATTTTTTGGCATGGGCATGAGGCTTCTTCTCTGTTAGTTGTTATATAACCTCTACCAGTGATTGCTTTGTTGTTTCTAGCAGATTAGGATCTCTATAGTTAGGCTATTGCCTCAGTTAATGAAAGCTTTAATGCTTTCCTAATATACTTTGATTATTATCAATTCACTTTTTTCTTTTTAACTGTAGAAATTTCATCCCTGACAGAAACTGGCCAGGTCAGAAGCATTATGCAATATCATTTCATGTGCAGAAATTGCCTTCTAGTTTGGTGCCTGCTTTCTAATTTTGTTTCTGTCTTTTTCTCTAGCTGTTATGCAAGTTAATAAACAGTTTGCATCCAAAGGGAAATGAGCCTATTGCAAAGATCTCTGAATCAAAAATGGCTTTCAAGCAGATGGAACAAATATCTCAGTTCTTAAAAGCTGCTGAAATCTACGGAGTAAGAACAACAGATATTTTCCAGACAGTGGATTTATGGGAAGGTAAAATAATAAACTAAAAGTCAGTTTACAGTCTTCATTTTACTTTGCTTTGATATGCATTTTGTCTAGGCATATTCTCTAATGTAATTATCTTTTGTTTCTGTTTGCCTTACCTCATTACCATGTTCTTCCAGTGCTGCATTATTTCCTCTGAGGGATTTATATTACCCTGAGGGCATAACAGAACCTTTCCAAGCTCATATGTTATCCAAAACCCCATCATTCTGATAGAAATTCACTAATAAAACAACTGTTCTCTCTGTTAATGATTTCAAAGTAAATAGCTCCTAATAAGAACATGTAAAAACCCTGATTTACTGATGACAAAATTTTATTGCACTCATCATATTATAAGCAAAGCTTAAATTGAAGCTAAGAAATTCATTCCCAGGAGCATATATGCCTCTGTGAAGCTTATGAGGGTTCATTTATGACTAGTGAGAAACAAAACTCACTGCTTAATGCCATGGCAGCTGACCTTCTCTCTCTAAGGAGACAGTCTTTTAGGAGAGGTCACTATGACAACAGGAAAAAATAAACCTCAGGGTGCTCCTGTGGTTTTACATAAGGCAGGTGAAGCCTGTCTCCATCCCAGGCTCGAAATGGAAACTGCATGTTCTAGTTGCTGAAGAGCTGAGTCATTTGTGCATTCCTGGGGCTGGTTTGCCCTCTTCTGTGGTGGTACATCCCATGCTGATGCTCTGACCAAACACGCTGTATCTCCTGCATCTCCCTGGACAAGGTGATGCAATGAGCTGAGGGCTCAGAGCAAAGACAGCTGCAGAGCAGTGAAAGGTACATATGAAAGGGCCAACAATCTTCCACCAGAATCAACCAGTGGAAAGAGGAAAAGAATACACTGAGAAAGCTGGCCAGCATAGTTTGTGTAGGAGTGCACATCAAGAGAAAAAAGTGGAGTGTGTTTTCACAGACAGTCAGAATATACATGGAAGGGATCACTAGTCTGAAGGACAGCTGGAGAAATGAAAGACCAGGGAGCTCTTCATGAATGGCTTAGAGGGAAAGGACATACTGACAGCTGGAGTTATTGGGATCTGTACATATCTCAGAGTGCCAGATTCACTTGACAAATCCTTTGGCACAAAGGCAGGATTGTTTCTTCCAGTTCAGTCTTTAGTGTTTTATGCAATCTATCTTTACATGTCTTTAATGAAGGGATTTTCACTTCCCTGAAGTAGCACCTTCCCACCCCTCAGCCTAGCAGAATGTTGAGAGAGAAGCTCCATCTAACTTGTCAGGGATGATAAATGCTCATTTCAGATGTTGTTCTTTACAGTCTTTTGCAAATCATAATGGCTTCCCACCATGCATGTGAAAATTGCTCCTCACCAGGAAAAGGACTTGCTTTGAAGACATAATGCTCTTAATGCCAGTGGCTGTCTCCTGATTTCCTTTCACTCACCACCTTTTCTCAACAGGCACAAGGTGAAAAGATAGTAACTTCTAGAGGACAGGAAGTCAAAACACAACTTGCAGCCTAGGAGGAAGACATACAAGGCTTTTCTTCACTGTTATTTTAAGACTTCCCAAAGCTTCACTTTCCCACTCCCTTCTCATCCTTTCTGCTGCTCATTTCAGTGCTGGGATGACACAATATGTCTCTCCAGCAATGAGAGCTCTTTGTGTCTCACTGTAACTCTGACCTCTGTGCTGCTTCAGGGCTGAATTGTCTGAGCAGGGATGCCTTAGCTGGGCAGAAAGGACAGTCTCTATTTCACTATTTCATCATTGCAGTACTCCTACACTTCACACCATAATCTCTTTGGAAAGAGAGTTGTCAATGTATGTTTATAGGGAAAGAAAAGTGTGACTGAGAAACAGCTGTCCCCTGGCACTAATTGTTTTCCATGAGCTTTTGCTTTGAAATTCTTAGCAATGATTAATGAAAATGTTTAAGGATATGATCTGCTGTTGGCCATTTCAAACTCACTCAGTCCATCTGTTGCACTTTTCTTCATCTCTTTGGCTTCTTGATCCAGGGAAAGTATCACCTCTCTTTTGTCCCCTTCTTACACAAATGTACTGTGCTGAGCAGCTTTTCCTGATCCACACCCAAGACATGTTCACTGCCTTTTACAGATCCCTCCTTGATATATTTCCAGGCAGGCAAGAGGCAGCTGAACCACTGGGTATTTGTTCAACATTTACAAAAAGCATCTCAGGAGTACTCTGCAGAGCAATTCTCCATCTTTGTGTCTGAACCTTCTCCTTTCTGGCCCTGGAGAGGAGGTCCTTCCAGATGGGTTTTGCCTAAAGAGAAAGGCTTAGCACAAGAAGTGAGCAGAGACCCCTTCTTTCTTGTTTTAAAAACAGTGCCAAGTTCCTCTGTAAGGCTGTGCTATTGAAAGCAGCCTGCAGAGGACACTGAGATGCAGGAGAATCATCAGTGTGGGTCTCTGAAGAGAGGCTGAAGCTGTGGGCCAGGTGGGCAGCCCACATGGCTGTCAATAAACAAGTCCTGGAGCTGAGGGAAGGTACTGACTACAATTTGGTGCAATACCAGAGTCAAACCCAGCTTCAGGGAAGGTGTCACTTCTGTAAGGTGACTGCACTGGAAATTTAAAATTTTTCCCTGAATTTTTTTTTTTTTTTTCTATCTTTAATGCCATCAAGCCCTTTGTATCCTTTGCTGGAAGAGGGCAAGTGACACGAGACCACTTGGATTCAGGTCTTCCCTCACCCACAGCACTCCTCAGCTTTGTTTTATCACGTATCATTCAGCTCCCACTCACTCACTCAGTTTTCCCCCTGCAGCATCTCCCACTCGTCACTGACAAATAAAGCAGAGCTGAGCACAGAGCGTGGGGGGGGCTGCCAGATGGCTCTGCAGGGCTTGATCATCATATTTCACTGCCTGCCTTTTGTTCCTTTTGCCTTTTTCCTTTGCTTGCCATCATTATTCAGCCGATTCACTTTTAAATCCTTCTCTGCATCCCTTTTCATCCCAGGCAGTCGCTGTTGTATGGGAGGCACCCCAAGGACGTTGTCTGTGGCATCTGTCACAGCATATGGTGCAGCTGCTGCCCAGGAGCTGTGGACGTGCCCCTGGGGATGTCCCCTGCAAGGACCCCTCTGGTGCAGCTCGCCTTAAATACAGGAAAATACATCCGTTCTAGAGAGCTGACCTTTATTTCTTAGCAAATGGTCCCCTGCAGATAGGATTTTTATAAACCTTAGTAGCCTGTATGGCAGGCACTGCTGGATGCTGATAGATGTTTTCAGCTTTAGAACGCTGTCCTCACCTCAGCCACTGTGTTACAGAGCCCTGGGTTTGCACATGGCTGTAATCAGGGTGATGCATAAATACAGAATATGCACTGCATAAATACAGAGTGTGCACTGCTCCCTTCCCTCTGCACTCTGCCTCATCTACAGTGATGCTCATTAATATTGGTCCACTGGAGGTATTTCTGAATTCTGTTACCATCGTGTCTCTGGTGTCTCCTTTTTTCTGAATTGGTTGTTTTCACATGTGAAAAGCCAGAATCAGATCTGTTAAGTAGATACAGTACTTTAGGAAAGAGGAAGAACTGCAATGAAAGAGGAGAGGGGAAGAATATAAATGCTTATGGAAGGATTTAATAAGAGAGAAGCAAAAGTCAGATTTCCAATAACTTACCACCTTGCACAATTGGAAATACCTGCTGCAACTTATTTTTGCTGGAAAGTATTCCAAAAGGTAGCATTCTGGATTGGGTAATGGGTTATGTAACTTTTAGTTGGCTAAAGCTGAGACAAGCCTGCCTTTCTGAACTGAGGAATGAAGTAACATAGCATAGGGAGAACACAGAAAAATAGTGGACCAAATGGGAGAAATTAAAGGTATGAAACTGAATAACATCATAGTAAGTAGGAAGGTTTAGGAAGGTGCTTTGATGGTTACTTTGGGCAGGACTGATAGAATTTATCTGCACAGGAGCTCCCAGAACTGCTGTAAGCTCTCTTAGAACAGGGATCAAACTGACTCTGGATAAACTGACACACAAGCATTGTTATTTAAGATGCTATTCTCCTTCAGCCACATTTTACTCAGTATATTACCATTATTTGTGGAAGAAGACATTAAAATAATCAAGGGCCTGGAAACCTAGAAATGTCTGAAAAACTAAGTTTTGTTTTAACTCTATCCCTTTGTTGACTTTTAATAAGCCCTTGCATGTCAGTACTTCCATTTCAGCAATGGTAAAACAGCACTTATAATTCTATTAATGCACATTGTCAGGGACCTGGGGCAGTTAGTTAATAGATCGGATAAAACTGGTTTTCAGTGTGCCAAGCTATTTGTTGTGCAAGGATTTCCTACATTAATTTCACTGTCTGGCTTTCTAGGGAAGGACATGGCAGCAGTGCAGAGAACCTTAATGGCTTTGGGCAGTTTGGCAGTCACCAAGGATGATGGCTGCTACAAAGGAGATCCATCCTGGTTCCACAGGTAAAGTCCAGAGCTCAGCTGCTCTCAGCTGTCTTCCCTGAGAAGCTGGTAATATTATCTGCCTTTAGGCTTTATGAAAATTCCTTGTAACAGGGAGGATTTTCTTTCTGAAGGCTAGAGAAGGGAAGCAGGAAAAATGTACATTTGTCATCAGGTTTGTTCTCTCACATCACATAGCACACAGAAAGACTAAGGAAGACAAGGCTATTAAGGATGTCTGTGAGCCCCCAAGAAGCAACACCTTCATGGAGCAAAGAGAAGGCATGAAGTCTCTTTACTTTTCTCATCAAACCAAAAATGATTTAATTTCCAAGGCTTCTTTATTCTTGGGGAGCACCACTTATTCTCTGTCTTGGCAAAACTGTTTATTTATTCTGAAATTCCATTTGTTTTGGCTAGGGAGGTTGTAAAGCAGGGACAGGAAGAAAAGGAAATCCTCCCGCAGTTACTCTCCTGCCCTGCAGGCATATTATTGACATGAGTTTCTGCCATCAGGAGTATCTCTTACAGAGAAATGTTGAAGGCAGGTTAGCAAAAAGAGTTCTGATTACTTGTCTTTGCTTGAATTTTCTGATGTCTAGGTGAGGCTCAGCAAAAATAAAGCAAACTTCACTTTGTCTTAAACCCTGATCTAGTAAAACTGAATCTGAGATTTGAATTTTAGATTAATAAATGCAAACTCCTATGCATTGTTTTTATGAAATCAGGTTACATTAACTTAATACACTGCACAAATAGATTGATATTTATGGAATATAATTGGGTTTAAAATTGATTTCAAATCCAGTTACATTCTCTAATATAAACCAGACATGAAATCACTATGACCCAGACAGACTTATTTGTTTTATGTAACTAAAACAAAGTCCCACATGGAAAAATTAAATTTCATCTGGACTTTTAATTGTGGGTGGGAACAGTTTTTGTTGGCATGGATGAAGATGTGATCAGCTCCCTTCTCTTCTAGCTGTCTGTCCAGCCCATACTACTTGGATAGCCAGCCGATATCCATTGCAGTCCCTGTGAGCCAGAGCTCACCCTGGTTTGGGGTGGCTCCGTGTGGTGGAAAAGTCTCTCCTCCCACCCAAGCTTCCAAAGAAAGGCTCAGCAGTCTCTTGTCCGGTCTCAAGGCAGTTTATTGCAAGTTATCTAAAATATTTTCTTCTGGGGCTGCTGTGGTTTGCTCACAGCTCAGGCAGAGGCACACACACACCCTGACATCCTCTCTGACCCCGACTGCTTCTTCTCTCCCCGCCCAGGGCTGCTGCTCTCTTTTATATGGTACATTACGTGTGACATGGTTACAGTTTTTCCCAATGCCTATTACCTATATTAAATGGTGCTTTTCTATCTTTTATATGGTACATTATGTGTTACATGTTCCCAGTTTTTCCCCAATGCCTATTACCTATATTAAATGGTGCCTTTCTACTCTAAACCAATCTGTGAGTGCCAACATCACCAAGAACATGGAGGTAAGGAAGAAGAAAGAGGGAGGACAGGGCAGGCCCAAATCCCAAATCCATCTTAAAACCTCTGACCCCCATGTACAAAACTAAAACCCCCCTGCACAGCACTCAAAAATTCTTCCCTCTACTTTGTGACTACTTCTACTTTAATATCTAAACTTTTGTGACTTCTTATCCTTCCTGCAAGGTTGGTAAATCATTCCATGGCTCAAACCCAAAATCACAGCTGTTTCCAGCTGCCTGCCAGGGTCTCAAATGCCTCTGACCTGGGCCTGGAACATCCAAAAATGTCTGAGGGACATTTTGGGTTCCGACACCTGTGAAACACCGTGTTGCAGTGGCTGCCTTAAGGAAAGCTGCTGTTAGGGCATGTTGCCAGTCAGGAGCTGTTTTCTGAGTAGCTTCCCTATCCCTTCAGGCAGACCAAGCCCTCTCACTGCCACCCTGTGCTGCTCATCATTCAGGGCTTCCAGGCTGACTCTTAATCACCTTAATTTGAGCATAAAGACTGGGATCAAACGTGGTGAGAGTATCCATGCAGGGATCTGCAGTCTTTGGGATAATGCCACACTGGAGCTGAGCCATTTAACTTTCCATTGCCAGTGTCTCACATTCCCAGTGCCATCAGACTGATGTCCCTGTCCTTGCCTAGCAAGATTCATGGATCCACAGCTGTTTGTTACCCTGTGGGTTGGCAAACACGAGCCCAGGTGTAAAGTTGGCACAGAAGTTTGACAGATCTGGTGGGCTCAGTTTTGGGTAAGAGTGATGCCAGACAGGCCAAACAGAGCTTGACATAGTGTGAGGCATGGCAGGTGAGTAGACTTGCCTTCATCTCTTTTCTTAGTCTCAGTTAAGGCTGTTTCCACTCACCTAAAAACAAATCTTGTACATATTATCTGTAAGACCATCATATACTAAATGTGGGGCCTGTGATGATAAAAATAATACTATCAAGCCATATATGCAATCAATTTCTATTAGCCTATCCAGCCTATCCTTAGTCTCTCCTTTAATTTCTTCTTTGCAGTTCTATTTTTTTCCCTGTTTAATTACTTTTTTACTTTCTGTGGAAGTACTCATCAACATAGCAGAAAATTCTAGGAGGAAAGAGAATAGAACAGTAGAATGCTTTCCTGTTTTTTAAATTAAAATAGAGGCAGACACAGTGAACCTGAGATTCAATTAGGTAATAGGAGTTGTTCTAAAAACTTCCTCTCCTGGAGATCCTGGCAGTAGTTTGCTGCCTGTGTAAGTGTTCTGGAAAAGAAATTAAGCAGCCATGAGAGGGGCCTGCTTTCTGAGGCACCACAGTTCTGTGTGCCTCCCAAAAAACAGTGAGTTTCTGGCAAGAGCTGTGGGATCTGAGAGCCTGTGGTGGGCCTCTATAAACCCTCTTACGAGTCTGTACTTCACCACTTGTGGACTCATTCTGCAAAATGACTGGTCAGTCCTGGTGTCCTGTGGATCTTTCTCCCCCTTCCACTTTGCTGGGCTTTCACGTGGACATGTGTTGCTATAGGACACGAAAAGCACAACATGAGCCACCGTGATGGTAAGGCAAAAAGAAGAAGGAAGTTTATTATTCTGACTCCAGGCTTTATAATTTTCCAAAGGTGACAGTGGATTGGAGAGTGAATGGGCCACCTCTCCAAAGACATTGGACAAACCACCAGTACATCAAGTTTCTCCACCCCTATGAAGGAATGCAAAACAATATGTTGTTTACAGAAAATGTGTGGGAAAGTTTTCTAACAGAATGTAAACTCAGAAGGCTTTAGAAAATCTTAAGAATCAGGGTGACAGACATGAGTTCGTCCCCTGCAATTTCCTGAACACCCTGAACTTGCAGAGCATTGAAATGCTTTTTTGGACTTGAACCAGGGCTGTCAGCACAGTGCAGGATCTGACCCTCACAGAGAGGATCGTGTTGATGGTTTTCAATCACAGCAGGTACCTAACCTTGTGTTCTCATCCAGTAGAGGGGTGGGGAAGAAAAGGCAAACTGTAACTCAATGCCATATTGCTGTGCAACCTGTAACCTGACCACAGGACAAACAGACACGGCAGGGAAATAGATTCTACCCACGTGGGAGCAAGGTTTGGTAGATGGAAAGCCTCCCTCAGCCTGGGTACAGACACATTTGATAACAACCAATTGATCCTTCTCCATCGTAAATCACTTGTTTTCCCCACCTGGTAGAAATGAAGGATGAATCCAAGATGAATAGTTGCTTGTGAGGCAGAAGATTGCAAACTTTTCTCCTTCTTCTTGGCTGCCACTTTGGCCTTCAGTGCCATTTTCAGGGAGAAAAAGGCTCCTTTTATGCTCCAACAAAGGCTCATTGATCCAAAAGGCTTTTGAGGCCAGGGACACTGAACAAAAGTTATCAGTGTGTTTTGACAGAACATAAAGAGCTGCCATACAGTTAAGACACAGGTGTAAAGGGCAAAGACTATTCTTAGGAGGTGAGAGATCTGGCAACAAAGCAAACATTCTGTCCTGCAGACAACCAGTGTCCCCTCTGCAAAAATGAGCAAGTCCCTTCTCTGACCCACTGCTGCTCTGGGTACACTCTGGGTACACGTTTTATTTACACCACTGAGTTAAATTATACCAGTTTTTACTGTCGCTCTAGATATCAGCTTGTAGTACAGCACAGGTAAGTGTCTCATGGATCAGATCCCATGGACTGCAGCTGTTAAGAGCTATAGGCTTCAACACAAATTAACCCCCTTTTGTGTTTTATATGCAACACTGCAAATAGTTTACCTGTCACAGCTTCTGGGAAGTCCCTTGGGGTTCTGCAATAATGGGGACATTGAAAGTCTAAAGTATTGTAGGTTTGACTAGAGCATTACTTCTATCTGCAGAAAAGCAATTAGCCCAGCCAGTATTGCCCAGCACGTGGGATGATGCAGATGACTTTTATTGCATGACAAGGGATATGAGCCAATTCCAGATGGATTTTCATTATCCTGACCCCTGTGTGATTTCATGATCAGACATAGACTGATGGTATGTATGTATGTTGCTTATGTTTTGTGTATCTGGGCAGGAAAGCACAGCAGAATCGACGAGGATTTTCAGAAGAGCAGCTTCGGCAGGGACAGAACGTAATAGGCCTTCAGATGGGCAGCAACAAAGGAGCATCACAGTCGGGTATGACAGGCTATGGGATGCCAAGGCAGATCATTTAAAAGCATCTCTGTCTGTGGAGAAAACACTCTTTCTGCAGCATGGTCCGTTAAGGAAAAAAAAAAAATCAAAGAAAAAAGAAAAAATGCTTATTAGTTCCCTTTCTGCCTGGTTTTTAATAGTTAGTGCTCTCCAAGGTTTGGGGTATTTTTGGTTTGGTTTGTTTTCTTTGCAGCTGCAAGAATTCGCCTAGGAACTTGGGTTTTTGTGGTGGTGTGTGTCAGCTCACAGCACGTGCTGCCTCCTACTTTTCACTTCTGAACTATGCAAAGACAATTATTCTGTATTTATTTGCAAAGTGTTATCTTCCATATTTGTCTCACACTGCACTTGTATTTCAACCAGTAACCTCGTTCTTCAATTCAATGATGATATTGTTTGACTGAAGAATAAAGACAAAATAAAGATATCTCAAAGACTCATTATTTAAAGGAGGTAAAAGCCAAAACCAACAACCTCATGGTTCAGTGCAGATGAGTTAAATATTTTCAATGGTCAATCTCTCTTATCTCTAACCCAGAGGACTCTCTGAGTGACTCCCTGCTATAATGTTTACAGTCTGTGTTATGTGTTCAATTTAGTGTTGTCCAAAGGCACACCTAAAGTATTTTCCTAAAAAGAAAAAAATATTTATCATCCACAGAGTCTGATTCATGTAGTCCCAGCCAATTTAGCTCAGATTTTTCTTGACCTAGTGTGCTGAGTCATCTGCAGCACACAAACTTGTGAAGCAAGCTAAAATCAGTTTTATAGGGAAAGCAAAAGCTGTGTGTGAAAACAAAGCAAAATAAGGATTAATCCACTATTTCTCATCATCAGGTAGGCACTTGGCTGCTTCCTGGAAAACATGGCCTCAGCATGCATGATGGTTACTTGTCACCACAGTTATTCCCTTCCTCCTCTTCCCTGAGCTCTTGCTGCTGACCACGACAAAATTGGGATGGGAAATCCTTTGGCCAGGTGGGGTCAGCTGTCCCAGATGTGCATCTCCCATCTTCTTGCCCACTCACAGCTGTGGGGACAGAATGGGAAAGAGCAAAGACCTTGGCACAGTGCAGGCAGTTTAGCAGCAGCCACTGCTGGTCAGTTATCAACTTCTTTTGTTTGTCCAAAGCACAGCACCCAGCCGGGCTCGCTGCACCCAGCAGCAGGTGAGTCTCCAAACTCGGGGAATTCTCCCCTGTGAATGAACAGCCTGTCAGACAGAGGTGAGAACAGGCTTCATCTTGTGATACTTGCTACTATACCAAGAAAAGCACAAAAAAAAAATTTGTGTTTCAAATGCAAAGCAAGATATAGAACAAAAGTACCAGAATGCTTCTTGTCGCTACAGGACACGAGAAAGCACAACACGAGCCACTGCAAGGTAAAAAAGAAGAAGGTTTATTTTCTGACTTCAACTTTTATGCTTTTCTAAAGGTGACAGTGGATTGGAGAGTGAATGGGCCACCTCTCCAAAGACATTGGACAAACTACTAGTATATCAATTTCTTCTATCCCCCACAAAGGAATGCAAAACAATATGTTGTTTATAGAAAATGTGTGGGGAAGTTTTCTAATAGAATGTAAACTTAGAAGGTTTTAGAAAATCTTAAGGATCAGGGCGACAGCTTCTGACGTGAAAAACACCCACAGTTCAAATTCAAATAATCTGTTACACTCATTTATGAAGATGTGGCAAGTATTTCATTTGGAGACAGTTTGCTGGAGTGTCAATAGAAGAAGTGGCTGGCACAGTCACCTGGCCACCAAAGGCCCCCAGAGCATTCTCTGAGTACTTGACTTGCCAGCCAGCTGCCTTGGGGCTGTGCCCCACACACTCTTGAGAGGTGCACTCTCTTTTCTGTGCAGGTTTCCTTATTGGCCATCTCTGGGCTTTCACTCACAAAGCCCATTCACCTCTTCCCCACAAGCAGGAGGGAAGGAAAACATAATTGAACTCTGTGGGTTTTTTCTTTTTAATTCATGACAGTGTTCCAAGAAGGCCTGAAAACATACTATCTAGGCAGGTAACAAACAAAGATTAATCTGTTCTGACAGCTCTCTGAGTGCCTACATACATAGATGGGGTGATTTCTGTCTGGCTTTGAACCCAGCTGGGTGTTTGCAAAGTAGCCCTGGGGCCAGCCACACACAGGTTCATGTGGCTTCAAAAATTCCTACCACCAAGTAAACTGAAAGGATGGTTCCTTCAGCCCATGGGAAGCTCTATCTTCCCTGTCAGGAAAAGAGAATTACATCTCCCCACTTCAGCCAAGCACTTCAGCCAAGCAGAGAAAGTGATGTGAAGGTCATGTTGTACTATTGGCTCGGAGTGAATCTGCAGTAGCTGACACTGAAAAGGTCCTGTCCCCACTCTAACAGCTGCCAGGGCATCCTGGCTCCTCCAGTGTCCTGCTGTCACACTGCTTTGTGTTTGCTACCTGTTCAGGGCTATTCTTCTGCTCCTTAGGTGAATTAGCTCAGCAGAGGAACAGCTGACAACTCCAGGTGGTGCACCTCAGGTAAGGGAGCTCACATTTTAGCTGTGCTAGGGCAGTAGCTCAGTAACTTCCCCTAAATATGACAACAGCTGTAGCATGAAGAGACCAGCAGGTTTTCTTACTAGAAACAAATAAGCTGATTAAAGAAACCTGGGCTGATGGCGAGACAAATGCCTGCCAGCAGAAATTTCACATTGGTGAACGTGAACAGCAGCCACCATCCTTTAATAGAAACTGCAGTCACAGCCACAGTGGGTAAAAGGCTGGATGGGAGGAGCTGGAAGAACTGCCTTGCAGGTAGGTAAGAGGACTGAGAGGTCCTAACCTGACCCTCTGCCCTACAGGGGACAGAGCCTGTAGGGTCCATCCAGAATTTGGTGACCTTGGCCCTCCCTCTCTAGCTGCAGAATTTTCATTCCATTTTCCATTCATACGTCCTCTCCAAAAACAACATTTTTAAGGGCTACATGACAATTAAATTACCAGGGTATATTACTTTATTTCTGATGCTAACAGCCTCATTGAAGTTATAGAAAACACTGTGTGCTTGCATATTTAAAAAAAAAATGTAACCAACTGTATTAGAGAAAACCAGCTAAGTGCTCCAGGAAAGAAAATCTATACCATGTAGCTCCAGACACAGGAAATAATGGCCAAAAATACTGATGCCCCAGGATCTTATTTTTGGCAACCAATCCCCAAGATCATAACATATTCTTTCATTACCTTAATCCATTAAACTAATCTAGCTGTTAGTATCTGGCAGTCAATGCTGCAAATTTATTCTGGAGTTCACTTTATCCTTTTATATTCCCATACAACAGATATAGAAATATTAATATTATTGTTAATTAAATGCTAATATGCCCTGGCCTACTAATAGTCTCCTATTAAAATATCCTTACTACTAAGTTTACAAACATCCTAAGCCAAGAAGCAAATTAATATAGTATCATGTAAGTTGCAACCAAGCTAACAGAAAACATCATCACTTCTCTTATATTAGCAATAAGGCTTTGTAAATTTGCTTTTACTGCATCAAAAGCATTTATGCAGATTTTCCAGAAGGCTAATTAATTTATGTGACATCTTTGTGTATTGTGAGTAGTTAAAAGCCTTGATGTTCATTAGATTAAAGACATACAGGAGCTTTGAACACTGAGGGGTAGATTGTTTGGGAGGAGGGGTTTATGTGTTCCCCCTCCTGGCTCTCTAATGCTTAGGGCAGGGTTCCCCTGCAGATGGTGAACAGCATCCCACTGAAGGCTCTGGACTCAGTTTGACAGCAAGGGTGAGCTAAAACAAGATTCTCCACATGCTGCCTTTAATCCTGTTTGAAGCCTGGCTGTAACTTGATGAGCTATCTCAGGAATAGAATAGAATAGAATAGAATAGAATAGAATAGAATAGAATAGAATAGAATAGAATAGAATAGAATAGAATAATTTTTGTGGTTAAAAATAAAAAAAAATCATAAAATCATCCCCCTTGAACAACTGTCTAGAGAAAGCCCCATCAGAGCAGGCTGGACCAGAAACATGTTAAATATTGTCATCCTTGAGCTTCAGTTTGCCATACTTGTAGACAAGTAAATGACATTTATCTGCCTTTATAGAGGTTTTGAGACTGTGACCTCATAATGGACAACTAAATATCTTCTTTTTAATGTTAAGTTGTGTGAGGGAGGAAGAACTGCATCCATGAGTATGAGACTGAAGTTTATCTCTATGTATAAGAAGAGCAGAAAGAAAATGCAGTGTACAGAAAGCCAGTATTAAGTACAGCCAGCTCAATTAAGCTGGAGCTTGAGGGCTGCCAGGCTAACATAACAAGATCTGTTTAAAATAAAACCTAATGAGGGTGAACAGCACGAAGAGGCTTCACTCTCCAGTAAATCAGCCTGCAGCATCACTTTCTAAGATGCCTGAGCTAAACAGCATCTCCCACACTCAGCAGGGATGAGAGGAGAAGGAAGGTGCTCCTTGCCCTGTCCCTTTCACCTGGGAGCTGTCTGTGTGGGCTGTTCACAGGCCACAGTGCATTTAGACCAAGCTTTCTTGTTTTACTGACTTCTTAGGTCAAAACAGAGCCCCCAAGGAGCAAGGATAAGGACTCAGGACATAAAAGTTTCATTTCTGTGTCTGTATTGATTGCATTTGGCTCTGGCTGCATTGTTGGGATTGGCTACCTCCATTCCTCTAATGGGAAATACTAACAATAGTGGTGGTTTGAACAGCTCAGATATTAATAGCATCCCTGATATGGTAGTGTCTCCTAACTAGAAATAAACTTTAAATATGTTGAGAAGGGAAGTGAGCGCCTTTAGAGGAAAGAAATTAATTCATTTACTCTAAGCCTGTTCTGTGAATGCCATGGTAGGTCCTGAGCAAGGGAGGGAGAGGTTACCAAGGCTGCAGATAAACCTGTGTACACAGACTTCCAACACCTATTTAGTCTTCTATAAACTTAAGAGTAAAAGAAAAGCTGATAGTTCTAATGCATGCATCAGCTAGCAAAGGAAACAATCTGCAGCACCCTAAATTTAAGGCTGTCACCAAACAGAGTAAGAGACAATTTTGTCAGCATGAGATTTGTGCACAGCTCTTGATGGGACACAATTTTCCTCTTCTATGGGGCTTGCCATCCTGCAGGAAGGGCAGGCAAGAAGACAGCACAAGCCACCAGCAGGAAAACATTGAGAAACAGCCACTACTCCACCCCCTAAAAAACTGATGTATCTATTTTAACTTTGCTGAGGTTGGTCTGCCCACACGAATCTCCAAAATAAAACCACCACAGTTCTACAACTAAGGCTGAGCAGTACAAAACCATGAGATAAAAAAAAAAAGTGGGAAAAAAAAAAAAAAAAAAAAAAAAAAAAAAAAAAAAAAAAAAAAAAAAAAAAAAAAAAAAAAAAAAAAAAAAA